GTTCAAGTCCGAGTTGCTAACGATTTTTGGGTTCAGGAGCTGCTTGAGGCTGTGGTTGGGGAGCTAGCGAGCTGAGTTTAAAATTTTTATCTCGCATGCGCGTAGAGAATATCCCTGCGTAGTATTAGCCTTCTACGTTGCCTGGTTCGCGAAATCGTTTCCCGCCAACATATTTTTTGGGGGGTCATGTATGCGGGGTCTAGGAGCGTATAGGGAAAATCTTAAAAGGCGAAGGTGACACACGGAGTAGGAACATATATCCAAGTTTCAGCCTCCCAGCTTTCACGGTCGTTGAGTTGAAAGTGGGTGACAAAATGCACTCGCTTTCCCAACACACACACAGACAGTCTCTCGGCAATATGCGTTTTTGCTGGCTGTAGCAGCGCTCGCGCCATAGCGCTGCACAGCAAAAACGCATAAAAATGCACTTGTAAGAGATTCAGCAAAATCCGAAAAACACGAAATTTCAGCATCCAAAGTGACGTGCTTACTGTGTCGGGATAATCATCTGTTTATCGGATTATATATCCAACAATCAGCAATCGATAATATCGATAGTAAAAGTCTGATTGTTGAATTCGACATCTGTACTCCAGATAAACCCGAAAGGTTTCCTTCTACAAATCAGCTTTTCTCACAAAAAACCGACAAAAAAAAAAAAGAAAAAAAATCACTAAATCACTCAAAATCGCTCGAAAAGTAGGAAAAACACTTGAAGATCTTGAAGACAAGTCTCAGTTATTCTTTCAGACCTGCACAACTGGATTCACTTTTTGAGGAGTGCAAAGATTACATACAACAGAAACAGACGAATGAACGGATAGCATGTGGAAAAGCGATAAAGCTCTTAAGTCACATCTTGGCTGATTTTCATCAAGTCAGAAGACAAAAATCCCCTTTCCCCCCCTCCCATATTCACTTTGCATCAAAGATTCGCGCATCCGAAAATAGCTCGAGTGATGTAGGTAGCACGGTGCTAATGATAAATTCTTCTTCCAAGGGTACTGAGAAACAGCCTGACAAAGGTAACTCCAGCTAGCAACTCGAATTTCAGTTGCTATTAACATTTCAGGATAATGCTTTGTGACGAAGAAGTTCGGTGCATTTGCATATCACCGGACGGCACCAGCGCTGTTTTTGCTGGCCTGGCAAGTTAGATCATTCTTCTTGACCGTTTTCATTTTGCTCAGTCGGAAAGCGAGATTGCCGTATTTTTATCAGTTCAGTCAGACTCAATGAATTATTTCTTGGCGAGGAGAAGAGCTTGCCACTATCATTTTGATCGCCTCCTATTTGTCAGAATTTGAACTTGGCATGTATCTGTACTAAAATTTAAACGTATTTAGAAAGATGGCAGCTGTGTAGCGTTTGATTTGACAGAGCCGGGCTCGCTGTTCGCAAATACGCTACAGTGGCAAACGGATGGGAACTTTTATCCACTGAGGACAGCAGCTTACGACACATCATTTATAGCAGTGGCCAACAAATTTAACACTGACCAGCTTGCTGTTGTTGGACTGGGCACAGTTCTTTCTCAAATTGACAAGTACTGCTTTTTGTGCGTTTTCGCTGTGCATCGCCAAAGCACTGTTGCTGTGAACAACCCAAGCTGGAACGCGCCAGGCTTGCCGATGCGATCGTGCATTTTTGTACTAAACTCACAGATCGCTAATAGCAGGAATGATCCCTAAGCTGTTTCCTAATACTTAGGCTCATAATGGCCGCGTTCTGACTTCTTCTGGCATGCAGGAGAAAGGGCGTCGGTTGGGATGAGGATGTTGCATTATGAGGTCGCACAGTGTTCAAGACCTATCCAATGTTTAAGATTCACCAACTTTTTATTTAATAGACAGAAAGCACTCAACAGCAGGAGAAAAATCCAGGCTGGAACGTACCGAGCGGGCCTGTGTGGTCGTCCGTTTTTTGCACCGGACTTGAAGCACTCAGGTCATTAATTGTATGAATGGCTGTTGCTTTACACCTACCTTTTGCAGTCACCAGCAAAAATCACTATAAACTTTGCAAAGTAAATGCACAATTTCCATTTAACCGTCGTTATTTAAAAAGTAACCTAGTTGTTCAGTGAGAAATTTTTTCGTCAAGACTTTTAAGTGCCCGTACGTAAGAAGCACGCATACCTCAAGGCTGAATTTGAGATACTTAGGTTGTACTTGGACAAGGAACATTCCTCCCAAAATTTCAGCTTTCCAGTTTTTCTGATTACCGAGTCAGCAATTTTCCCGCCAAGACCATCGCATACCTGTGCTTGGATACTACACGTGTTTGGAAAGCTGAATTTGAAATTTGTAAATAGTACGTGGACAAGGAACATCCGCCTAAAATTTCAGTCTCTCTTTTCCAGCAGGAAATTTCACACGTCCTTAAGTGAGTACCACGCATACCTGGGGGCTGAATTTGAAATTTTTAGCTAGTACATGCACAGGAAGTACCCCTACAAGGTTTCAGCCCCTTAGCTTTTGTGGTTCCCGAGATTGCTTTCCAGCCCAGAAATTTGCATATTTTTTAAAGGAGCCCGTACCCGGCTCCAAAGCGTCCGCAGGGGATGAAATTAAAACGGGAGGGTCGCGCATGGTATGGGCACATACTTCCAG